GGTGCAAATTACTGACCTCTGTCATCATTTTAAGTGGGGGAACTTGCACAATCGGTGGCTGACTAAATACTTTTTTGCCCCACTGTACATGATACAAAACTGAGAGCAAAATGACATACAGGCATGTACTGTAGCTTAAATACAAGCAAAATAACTTTTTAACAGGGTACTTAATCTCTTGAGATTAAGAATCTCTTTTGTCAGTGTGTCCTGGGCTGAGACAATGTACAACTTTCTAATCACAGCTTGTGCAAATATGAAATACAACAGAGCTGAAAATATTAGACTATGGTAATGAACTGATCACTCTTAAGTAGGTTTTGAGCAGGTTCCATCTTCCTTGATGTAAACAGGTACTGTTTTTCTTTGTTTTAAAATAACCTAACCTAAATCATTGGGTGAAACAAATGATGACATTTTACATTAAACTTATATAAAATCAAGTAACTGATCCTCGATTTTCTTCTAATTACATCAGTGTTCTGCTGGAACACTCTGGGTCCTGGTATCCCTGTGGATGACACGTACCACCCACTTAAACAGCACTGCAGACCAAGCAGCTTGGGTTAGTACGGCAAAGTTATTGCTATCTCTAAATAATAAAGAATTTGCTAAACTAACTATAGCGAGAGTTGTAACTATATTTTCTCATTTAAATCAGTCAGGTTGCCTCAAATCACTGAAAGAAATAAAAAAGGGGAAAAAGGGCTGAATACAGGAAGCGAGAGGGAGCTTTTTGTGTGGTGACTGAGCCCTGTGTGTTTGTGCTCAGAAAGGCTGAAGAGGTGTGATGTTTGATTGGAGATCACACCAACTATGGCATCATGACACTGACCTGCTGGGCTGCATTTGCTGGGTTTTGCCACAAACATCATCAGCTCCACTCACATACGTAAATAACCACACTGTTCTGAGGTATGTGTAGGAGTAAATAGCTGAGCACTAAAAGAGGTGGGAGAGTCTCGTCCTGATCTAATGCAAGAGGAGATTGAGTAGGAGGTGTGTGTGTGTGTGTGTGTGTGTGTGTGTGTGTGCATGCGTGCTCGTGGGTGACGGTTTCATGCATGTCACCACAGAGCTGCTGTATAATTAATGCCTATAGATGGAGCAAATGTACGTAAGCAAAGGTCTGCACACTCAGTGATGCAGTGTTAGATGTCTAAAAAAACTTCACAAACTGTGGAAAAGTTTCTGATGCTAAAGGTTTCAGCCAAAGGAGCAAAATTAGCAAAAGCAGCATTATGAGGAGCTTATAAGTGAAACAGAGCTCATGAAGATACATATCATGGTCTAACTACATATACGTAGGTCTCACAAAGCACAGTTAAAATTAGCACTGCAAACACCTAGCATGTCAATGCAATGGGGATCACTAGATGCACGTCTCAAAATAGTCTCATAATCATTATATTTATGATTTCATTGGCTAAATTCACTCTTTCTGATTGGTGCAGATGTTTGTTTTGAAGAAAAAAAACAACAACTGAAAATTAGGTTGACATTTGACCTCAAAGAAAGCTATGTCTGAGACTGGGTGTGGTTTAACTGACATTCTAGCTTCTGGTGACTGAGAAACCACCAGGTGGAAGCTAACCAGGAGCATTATTCAAACCTGAACTTCAGTCCCCAGCTTATGGTTTGATCCAGACCTGGAGATTACTAATGATTATTAGTCTAACCCCCTCCGTGAATCGCTACCTTATTGTGGTGGTGGGGTTTGTGTGTCCCAGGGATCCCAGGGCGTATGTTGTCCGGGGGCTTCTGCCCCCTGGTAGGGTCTTCCATGTCAAGACCCTACGGAAGACCCTACTATCCTGAAAGCTCTGGATGTTGCAGGGCTGTCCTGGTTGACAAGCCTTTACAATGTTTCGTGGAGATCAGGGGGGCACCTCTGGATTGGCAGACTGTGGTGGATGTCCCCATCTTTAAGAAAGGGGACCGGAGGGTGTGTTCCAACTACAGGGGCATCACACTCCTCAGCCTCCCTGGGAAAGTCTATGCCAGGGTGCTAGAGAGGAGAGTCCGTCTGTTAGTCAAACCTCGGATACAGAGGAACAATGTGGTTTTCGTCCTGGTCGCGGAACACTGGACCAGCTCTTCATCCTCTCAAGGATACTTGAGGGTGCATGGGAGTTTGCCCAACCAGTCTACATGTGTTTTGTGGACTTGGAGAAGGCATTCGACCGTGTCCCTCGAGGTGTCCAGTGGGGGGTGCTCTAGGAGTATGGGGTGTCTGACCCATTGCTACGGGCCATTCAATCCTTATACAACCGTAGCAAGAGCTTGGTCCGCATAGCCGGCAACAAGTCAGACTCACTCCTGATGGGAAATGGGCTCTGCCAGGGCTGCCCTTTGTCACCGATTCTATTCATAATTTTTATGGACAGAATTTCTAGGCGCAGCCAAGTGGCAGAAGGCTTTCACTTGGGTGGTCTCAGGATCTCATCTCTGCTTTTTGCAGATGATGTGGCTCTGTTGGCTTCATCGGGTGATGGCCTCCAGCTCGCACTGCAACGTTTCGCAGCCAAGTGTGAAGCAGTGAAAATGAGAATCAGCACCTCCAAATCTGAGCCCATGGTCCTCAGCCAGAAAAGGGTGGAGTGCCCACTCCGGGTCAGGGACGAGTTCTTGCCCCAAGTGGAGGAGTTTAAGTATCTCAGGGTCTTGTTCATGAGTCACAGGAGAAGGGAGACGGATTGGTGCTGCGGCTGCAGTGATGTGGAGGCTGCACCGGTCTGTCATAGTGAAGAGAGAGTAAAGCCCTAAAAGCCCCAAGTGAGTTCATATTTTTTCGGCACATTTATCACACTTCCATGCTTCAGCTCATTAAACTAATTTTAATATTGGACCACGATAATCCAAGAAAATGCAAAATCCAGTTTTTAAATAATGATTGCCTTTGTTAAAAGACCACGTGAAAAAGTAATGTCCCCTAAACCTAATAACTGGTTGTGGTGGAATTTTGGCCCACTCTTTTGCAGAGGATTGTCTTAATTCGTCTGTTTAAGCACCTTAAGATCAGAATAAACAGTGAGACTGGACTTGATTTGTTTCATTTTGGGGGGTTTTTGAGCCATCGAGAGGTGGACTTGCTGGTTTGTTTCAGACCTTTCTCCTGCTGCATAACATAAGCATGCATGAGCGTCAGGGCATGAAATGACTGGGAATTATCCTTGTGGATTTTCTAGTAGAGAGCAGAATTCATGGTTGGGCAAAGTGTGACAAATATGCAAAAATCTAAGAAATCAGGAAAAAGGGCAAATACTTTTTGACTCATGACCTCCAGCTTGCAGCAACAACGTAGGTTACACCACTATGACGAGTGCAAGCTGATGGTCTAAAAATACAAATAAGTGTTGCATCATAAACAGGATTGGCCAGTTACAATCATTTTCCCAGAGCAACTACGATGCAGTTCACAGCGATATTTGTCTGTGCAGTTTGTCAGAAATTTTTCTTCATGTTTGCACAAGACAGGAATTAATACAACTTTCTTTTTTAAGGAAGCAGTTAGCTCAATAAATGTGTCTTACTGACCGTTTCATAAGCAGCGAGCAGTTTGCGAGTTGGTTCCGAGAGGCCGAGCAGGGGCTCCAGACGTGGATAGCCATCCTTCAGAACCATGGTGGCCCCCATAGTGCCCTCAGGACTCTGTAGCCTCGTGCCCAAGGTCTGGATGCACTGCTTCAGTTTGGCCACCGTGGGGAGCCCACACTGCTCTTTGAAACTGGCTGTGGTGCTCTGGAAATGGTGTGAAGGTAAACAGACAGAGAAGAGAGGGAAAATAGTGTTAGATCTGATGTACAGTTCCGGCTGTAAGATTAAGCTGGGAAAAGCCAAAAATCATGACACGCCCCGCTCACTTCCCCTCCGTTCCCCTGTCATCTGCTGTCTCCCTTGTGAATTAAATCAATATGGCACTCACTGCTGCCTTTAATCCAGTGAAATCAGCCTGAGCTTAAGCGCATTTAGCAAAAAAAGGAGACAATATGGCATAAATCTGGAACAGGAAATCAAAGCAATTAGAGTGTGTGTTGGATGGGGGGATGCAAGATCGGGATGGTTCACAGATTTGTGTGACAGATTAAAGGACTCATTTGCTGAACTTCCATTCAGGGTCACTTCATAACAAAGGTAAACGGTTTATTTCTGCATGTATGAGCACTAGAATATAAAGCCTCTGCTGTTGCACTGAATGACATTTGCCACTTGCCACATCCCCAACTGGTCTAGCAATTATCATGCTCCACCTGTGTGTAAGTGCATCTGTGTCTGTGAATGTGACAGACACAGAGAAGCATGATGAATAATATCTGTGGCAGATGAGCCCACAGCTGGACTCATGGCAGAGAGACAGAGAGAAGCAGGGTGTACAATGAGACTGAAGCAGGAGGATTAAAAGCAGTCTCTGAGTGAGTAAAAAGTGTTTCTGCGTAGCACTCCGTGTGTGTGCGTGGGTTTGTGTGGGAGTGTGTCTGACAGACTGACTGGATGGGATTGGATGATCAATGAGATGGCAGGAAATTTGCTCTCTGCTTTCTACCGAAAAGGATTGACATTTTTCAACCAGAGATTCATTCCAGTTTTTAAATTCACAGATCTACACTAGATGGATGAAACCGTGCAGTCACCCAAACATTACACACAAGCAGACATTTCTGTCACATCATAGCAGAAAAATCATGTGTGTGTTCATAATAGCTGCATTTATCGTGGGCACGCTGATTCCTCCATCATTAATGTGGCTGATTGTCCTCCTGGACATTTTTTTAAAACTGTGGTTGTTCTATTTGGAAGCTGAAGATATTAGAGGATAGTTTGAACCAACAGAAACACGTTGGGACACAACTCTGACATCTGAGAAGATTTAAGTTGATATTGTGAACTTAACAGCAGTTACAAACAGACTGTATATAAAGGATACAGCTGCCATGAAGTCACCTACTGGTTAGTGAAGTGGTTTTGCCATCTCCATCTTGGTATTTTGAAACCAGGTCTAAGCCAATAAACATATCATAGACTGGGCCCCATCTTAAGAAGCTCATAGTATCATATCACCCCAACAAGGCACTTCATTATCAGCCTGCTGGTTTACTTGTGGTTCCTAGGATATTTAAAAGTGGAATGGGAGGCAGAGCCTTCAGCTTTCAGGCTCCTCTTGTGTGAAACCAGCCTTCAGTTTGGATTCAGGAAACAGACATGCTCTCTAGTTTTAAATCTCTCTAAGTCTTTGGCAACTGGAGGCTTTCAATGATGCACTGAGTGTTTTTTAACTCTGCTTTTAATCATTAGTTGTTACTAATCTCTGGCTGTCTTCCACAGTGTATCTTTTGTCTCGTCTTCCACACCTCACCCCAAATCGGTCGTGGCTGATGGCTGCCCCTCCCTGAGCCTGATTCTGACAGAGGTTTCTTCGTGTTCAAAGGGATTTTTTCGTTCCCACTGTCGCCATTACCATGCTCACAGGGGTTGTCTAATTTTGTGGGTTTTCTCTGTATAGTTGTAGGGTCTTTCCCTTACACTATAAAGCTCACTGAGGCAGCTATTGTTGTGATTTGATGCAGTGTAAATAAAACTGAATTGAATTGTTGTAACTAGTGATTAAGACTATAACATCACCTGCTAAGTTTATACTGTAGGTCACACAGCAAAGTAGGCTAGGGCTGTTCGTCCTTAAACTTCTACACAATTGGAAGTCTTTTTGTTTGGCTTCAGACCAAGAAGTTACATCGTTTAGGTCTTTTAAGTCCAATACTGACTCTTTTAACTGCATGGGTGGTCTCCACAAACTCCTGGCTGTATCTTATCTTATACAGTAGTGCCTATATACTGACTTATCTGTCTTATCCTGCTTTGTGCTTTTAAACATTCCCAGTTAATTTCTTTCTATTTTACATTGTAAAATTATATTTAGCAAGTATTTCATATCAAAACTTTTTAGTGAATGAAAGAAGAAAAGCACAAGTATTTCTGTCCCCTGCCTTCTACTATACTTTAAAGTTGCTATTCCAGGTCATCTGAATCACGTAGTCAGGTGAATTGATTAAGGCCTGGTGTGACCACACTTCACTGTGACTCGCTAAGTGTTCAGAGGGACTATGTATTATGTGTGTGAGTATCAGTTTGGACACTACATACGCCTCGTTCGTTTTCAGCACTTGGGCTTTGGCCAGTTTAACTGGGCTGATTCTGGATTATCGTTCACATAAGGTCACGTCATGCCTTCTGGGATTTAGCCTATCATTGGGTCAAACAAGTTTTGGTAAATGGTATAGAGGCACTGGATTGTATTGGAGTACCTAAACAACTGGTTTTATGCACAGAGCCGCTACCTCCAGGAACAAGAAAGTCCTAGTTTCAACACATATATGGGTATAAGGTATATATTAACATCACAATATACCTCTCTAAAAATAGATCCAGTGCAAAAAAGGATTCTTTTCACATTGCCCACCCATACATGTTGGTGTTCAGTGATAAGATGGTGGGAGCTGAGCGACCAGGTTCTATTTTCGCTGGTATTTATAATCCTCCTCCACTCTTCTCACTGACTCCTTTGTCGCTGCCTCGTCCTCCTCCTCCTCCTCCCCCACTCTCTTATTCGCTCTACAGACAAGTCTAATTCTACCTGAGAGTTGAGCTCCAAAAAACTGGACTTCTTACTGCTCACTGAAACCTGGCAGCATGACTCAGATTATGCATCCCTCATTGAGCTGTGCCCGGAGGGTTATTCTTTAATCAGACAGCCACGGACGTCGGGCTGAGGAGAAGGCCTTGCCGAGGTGATTCCCAGCCATTCATCCAAAGTCAGTCACTTCTCTTCGTTTGAGCTGCTGCTCTTTAAAGTTCGAGAATTTTATTTAATGCGCTATAGTGTATCGCCGACACGGTCCAATCAATGTATTTTCAAGTTACTTTTTGTCTTTCACCCTGAATCTGTCCAGACTGGTTATTTCTGGTGATTTTAATATTCATATCGATAACGACTCTTTCTGCGAGGAGTTTCATCAACCTTATGAACTCTTTTCATTTTACCCAGCATGTATCTGGCCTCATTTACACAAAAGGACACCCTCTTGTTTTAACCTTGGGCTTTAACATGGATCTTATCTGCCCCTGTTGTTATTTCTAATTACTGTGTTGCTTTTAATTTACTGTTATCTCCTGTTAGTGATGTAAATATCTTGACTAACCACTTTAATTACTATTGCCTTTCTATTTTAGACAGCGTCTGTCCTTTTTACAAAGAGATCAGCATCTGTTTTAAAATCCTCACCGTGGATTAATGGCACTATCCACTCTTTAAAGCTGGAAACCTGAACGCTTGTGGAGGAAAAGTCGTTTGCAAGTTCATTTAATTTATGTCAAAGATATTTTGGTGTCTTTTAATAATTCTGTTACAGATACGAGGGCTGCCTGTTCTCCAGTCTGGTTTCTAAAAGCACAGGCAATCCTAGGGTTCTGTTTAACACTATTAGTAACATTGTTACCCCTGCTTCACCTGCTGTTCCCATGTCATCTGACATCGACTGTGAAAACTTTTTAAAAAATCACTCATATTAGAAATAACATTTCTCTGTCAGCTGTCCATTTCTGCCCCAGCTCAGCTTGTAATTTTAGATCATTTTATACTTGTTTCTCTTCCTGAACTAACCAACCCAGTTGGCTCTGTGAAAGTCTGTTGTTGTTGTTTAGACATTTTACCTGCGTCCCTGTTTAAAGATGTTTTTCGCTCCATCGGCCCTCGTATTGTTAATTCCTCTCTGGCTTCGAGTCAAGTCCCGATTTATTTTAAGAATGCGGTTATTCACCCTATACTAAAAAAGCCACACTAGACCCTTCTCTCTTGGGCAGCTATAGACCAATTATTATTGAGAAAAATGTTGCTAAGCAGCTAACTGCTGTTTTAAAGAACATTAACAGAGATAGCTCTTCTCTTATCTTTAAGGGTGTTTTGGTGCAAAGTGACACAGGAAACTGTCCTGTCCTCCTTATGTTGGACCTAACCTCAGTCTTTGATACAGTTGATCCCCAGATCTTGCTTGACAGGTTGAGGTATTGGGCCGGTATAATGGGATCTGCCTTACAGTGGCTTACTTCATATCTTTCTGATCATTCTTTTTGTGTAGCTACTTCAAATTATAGGTCTTCTTTAAGCCATCTTCATTTTGTTGTACCTCAGGGTTCGGTTTTGGGGCCCTTATTATTTCTGTTTTTTAGCACACTTTGAGCACTTTTAAAGATATCTCATATCACTGCTACGCAGATGATATTCAGTTATACATCCTTTTAAGCCGCATAAGGTATCGAAACTGCATCTCTTACACAAGGATAAAAATTTTCTCCAACTTAATGAGGAAAAAAATGAAATTCTAGTTTTTGCTCCAAAAAAGCATACAACTCTAATAATGGAAACTCTTGATCTATTAGCTTCTTATTCTTTTAAGTCTTTTATCGGGAACCTTGGGGTAAATTATGACTCTGGTTTTACTTTAGATGGTCACATTCACTCTCTGGTTTGTTCATGTTTTTATCACTTAAAAAGTATTGCTAAGCTAAATAGTATTATCTCAAAAACAGAATTGGAAACTGTTATTCATGCTTTTGTTTTTCAAAACTGTAACTCATTATTCAGCTGCCTAAACAAAGCATTACTGGACCATCTGCAGACTGTACAAATGCTGCTGCCAAAACACCAACGTTTTCTCACCTCACACCGCTACTCGCCAGCTCTGTTGGCATTCAATCCAGAATACATTTAAAGATCTTGGTTCTCACTTACAGGGCTCTGAATGGTCAAGCACCAGCCTACATCAAAGAACCTTTTCATCTGTATGTTCCTAGCAGGTCCCTAAGGTGACCAAAGCCTGCTATTTGTGCCATGTACGAAGCTGAAAACCAAAGGTGACTAAAGGTGACTAAAGGTGACTAAAGGTGACCGAGCCCTCTCAGTAGTAGCACCAGGACTCTGGAACTCTTTCCTCTTTAGTTTGTGTCTGCAGACATCACAAACCTCTTGAGCTTTTTAAAAATCAATTAAAAACACACCTTTTTACAACTGACTGATTTGATGTACTGATGTCTAATGTTTTTGTTTTCCTTTACACAGTACTTTGTGATTAATATCTTGAAAGGCGCTAAATAAATAAAGTTTTACTATTTACTAATTTCAGAACATTCATAAAATCCTACACCATTCAGCCTTTTTAAGCATCCTATCAACATTGGGTCAGTTCACAAGCCTATTTCACCTCTAAGGCCATCCAGTGAACATAATTTTACCAAAGTTTTGATGTCACTTATATATATTTATATAAAAATAAATATTTATATTATTTACATTATATATTTATATATTCATAAATAAATATTTATATTTGCTTATGTTTCATTTATGAAATGTAAATGAACCTTGGGTCTGTCACAAGCCTGTCGCACATATTATCAAAAGTCAGTCCACATCCAGTCTCACCTGAGCATCCTCCCGCAGGTCCGTCGCTTCTTTGAGAGGGCCACCGGCTGACTTAAAAGTCTCATCCACTACCTTGATACCAGTGTGCCTCAGTGTGACGTACTCTCTCCCCCGTCTCCCCACCCTCCGCACCGAAAGACCTCGCCGCTGGGCCTTCCCGCCTCCTCGGCGGTTGGTGATTGCCACGTGGACAAACAGGCTGGTGTGAGGTAAGGGGTCTCCTGCCAGGCCCAGCAGGGGCACATTACGGTAGCCAGGCTGAAGGCACTCGAAGGCCACGCTGTACTGGCCGATGAAATCATCTCCGATGTAGTCATCATCTAATACCACAAAACGCAGCAAGGCCAGCTCGGGCATATTTACCTGGGGACAGGAAATGAACAAAGAGATGAAATCTATTCTGCTGTGCACCAGAGCAAAAATAAAACCATGGCCAGTGAACACTTTGCAGAGTACTGACCTACATTAATACAACACACCTCGTCTGCCTCAAAAGACTTTCTGGGGGAAAATCTCGGATAATTTAAATGTTATTATTCCAAGTCTAATTCTGGTTATTTATCCATGCTCTTACTGAAACACAGTTTTATTCATATTTGATGGAGAGAAGAAGACAAAAAGTTACCTTGGTTTTCAGAGCAGATATCTGCTATGAATTTTTGGTTGAAATGAGATCTGAGATCTGTTTAGGGTCAGGGGTATAGGGTTAATGTTAGATTTAAACCCTTTACATGGAATTTCTACCTATATTGGCATTCCAAATTGGAAACCTTATGACAGAAGATTTCCAAGGCCAAAATGCATGTAACAGGTTTTCATTTTCTTGTAATATCTTAAAAACGGCTTGTTTAGCATGTGGCTTCAATGTAACATATGCTAACATTATCCCCTGTGAGGTCTAAGGTCAAAATTGAGTTTTGGGAAATAATGGGAAGTTTTTCATGTATGCCATCTTCTTTGTTTCCTGGTTGCCAGGACTTAAGAGAACCATTTAATATAAACAAAAACCCTTTCTGAATAGTTTTAGTGTTAGGGCTTGGGTTGGGATTAGAGTCATCATAACTAAGAAACGAATCTCAGAATATTAAAATGTATTAATAATGAACTGAGACAGGACTCACATATTCCCATATCATGCCTGATCCTTCTGACTTCATAGCAGCAAATGTCACTTTAATACCCCCACTCACACAATATTCATTCCCAAATTTTGACCTGTAAATTTCCAGATTGTTTTATTCTATTTAACTTTATGTATATAATTCACTCACTTATTGCACATGTCTTCTTTGTATATATGTACTTACTTACTGTATATAATGTTTTTCCCTCACTATTTTGCACAGTCGAGGAGCAAATCAGGTCACAATTCACTGCGTGTTATACTTGTATAACTATGTACGTGACAAATAAAGGGATCTTGAATCTTGAATCTAATGTGTTTATTCAATAATGGCATTCCACCAAGACAAGCAAGGCAAGCAGTGTTTGCCTAGTTAAATCTAAAAACATGATCTCTATCCTTTTATCTCAAACACTAGAAAGTATTTCACCCATACGCATACATCCTTTACATTACTGCGATCTTATTGCTGTAATAGTAATAAGCTCCACTTTGGTGAGTAGAACAGATGCAGCCATCAATTTCACATTAGAAATCAGTAATTATGTGAGTGACCAAATGTGCAATGATCAAACAGCTGTTTTGCAAATGCACACCCTCATTTTTAAATAATATTTTTAACTCACTGTAGATATTGACAGTTAGGCATGTCCCACAGTGCTCAAGCCTTTGAATAATAACAGTGGCTAGGTGATTTTTTTGTTAATAATATACTATTACAGTATACATGTTCTGAAAGTTAAGATTTAGAACATGATGTATTGCTGTAGATTAAGCAAAGTATGAGCCATTTGAAATAATTACATTCCATATTTTTCAGACCATAAGGCTCGCAGCATTATAACTGTCGATGAACTGGTCAGTTTTCATACATAAGGCACATTAAGCGAAACAAAACAGTCAGCTAAGTCAAACTTTACCCAACTCATTCTTCTTGCTTGCTCCACTTCCGTACCATTGATTCATTAATGTTGAATTCTCTCCAGCTGCTCTATTCCCATGTTGTTGCAGTATATTAATGACTAACCTCGTATTGTGGATGGATTATCTTAGTTGTTCTCCTGACTGAAGTTTGGTCCGTTTACAGCATCCTGCCATGTGATTGCATTTGTCCCTAACCATCAGGAACCCTCACATTACGTTTAATGAGTGGGAATAAGTTAGTGTTCATCCTCCAGCTTCACTGTGTTTATGTTATGCTAACATAGCTGTGTTGCTACCATGTAGCATCATTATATACCAGCTAGCCCAACTTCAGTAACCCTACAAACGTTACTGCTGTTTAGTTTTCTGTCTTCATTTATGTTGGAAGTGATAGCAGAGCTGTATGTTTGATTTTTTTCAGAAATCTCTCAGTCAGAACATGCTATATCATGTTTAGGTGGAAGCTAGCGAGCTAACTTCCTGCTAACTTTTAACTCTGTTAAAGTTAATAAATCCTGTTTTCATGGATGTCTGGATGTTAAACTTAATTGTTGCACCTGGTAAAGCAGCAACGCTGATCATTTTATTAAAGATGAAAGAATTTAGACAGTTTTTA